AGGAGAAGTTATGGTAAGGGATGGGACATCAGTGTTCGATCCAAAGAATAAGTTCACCTTGTTAGAAGACAACAAAAACCAGACTTCTGGCGTTGCTGCTCACAGCTACAGCAAGGCAAATATGTGATTTATCTTTTGAGCTACCAAGAGTAAAGCATTCTAAAGATGAAGACCACTTCATCTTCTAAATGAAGAGCCCTGATAAAATTATTTGATAAGGACCAAAAATGTTTATCTCCATTCATTGAATTCATTGCATTCTTCCGTCAATCCAGCTCCACAGGTCCTGGCATCCCTGAAAATTCCTGCTTTCTTCATAAGTGCCCTGAAGAAAACAGTTCAAAGGAACCAGCAGCACAAACCCATTCCAATCTCTGGTGCAACTCTGCCTTCCAGGCCCAACGGATCTTTGCACATTTCTAACAGCAACACAAATTCTGTGGACTCCTCTGAAGATGATGTTGTTCCTTTTGGTCTGTGATACTCTCAACATGAAGAACTGGCTCAATGGAATCTCTATCCCTCTGTTATTCCTGCTATTTCTTGGTTCCTAATTATATGACTTATAAACTTTCAGAAAGCAGTCCACTGCTACCAGCGGGTTTGTCTGAGGAACAGAACTATTCCCTGAGATTCCAGTATCCCACGGGAAGCCTCCTGTGCAATGAAAACACTGTATTTCCTTTCAGCAGTTTTCTGTATTTTGCCAACATTTTGCTCTACAGAAATCCTGCTTTTGTTTCAGTGGTGATATTTTGAGACAACTGCTGACTGCCCAGCTAATTGCTGCCTCTTGCCGCATCATTTGTTAAACTTCACCTCAGTCAAGGCATCCAGAAAACGCCTTTGGCAGTAATGGAATCAGATTTCTTAGCAAGGTGCCTCCATTTGCTCAAGGGTTTCCTAAACACATCCTATGCTAGTGTTTTTGAGAGCGTTTTCCCCTGTAACATTTGCCCCCCTGTGAATTACAGAGAGGAGTCAGCATCTCCTCCTGAGCATGCCTGGACAGCCATTTCCACTCAGTTGCTGTAGAGCAACTCACCTGTCAACAAGCTCACCTCCGTAGGACACCGGTACCACCATGCTTTGCCCAGGCCTGATGGTTGCTGTGATTTTTCCAGCTATTTAGAAACCAAACTTTCAGATTTTCCCAGTCTAACAAGTAATTGCAGGTGTCCTTAAACAACACCTCTCGAAATGGAAATGCTGCATCGCTGTAACCATTGCCGGGGTCCCTTTCAAGCGGTACAACCATTTATCCTTCAAGAACACACACTTCAGCTGTGATCATCTTCCATGCTTTTAAGACACAAGCCATTTGTAAATGAATCAGTGTTTCACCAGTGTCAGTAATAGCAGTGTAACAGAGGGATGCCTTGCCACAGCTTCCCCATTAGCATTTCTGGGAGGAAGCGCTGCCTGCCATAAAAGCCATTATCCTCAAGAGATGTGCTTCTATACTGATGTGAATTATTCTTTCCCAGATCATCCTGTCTTTCTTGGAAAGCCAAGTAACACAGCTGCTATTGTGCCAGCATCTGGAAGCAAAACAATGTGCTCACTGCAAACTAATTGCCTTCCAGACACCATTTTTCCAATTTTGACAAATTTTTAGGAGAATTTCCTCAAATCAAACCTATATGCATTTTTTACTATCTTTTTTCCTGTTACACACTATGATCATAATTAGATTTGATTAATCATAAAAACAGTAGAATGATGAGTTAATAGAGGACTAATTTTCAGAGGCAATCTTCCCCATTTGTTTGTGGGAATATATGCTCACTTTCACTGTTTTCTCTTGAAAGACAATCCAGGATAAACTGTCCTATAGTTAGACACTTTTTGAACATCTGCACTATCAGTCTAAGTTTAGTTGCTGTTCACTCACACGCTTCACAGATCCTGATGCACAGAGTAGACAAATTTTCATTGTTAGATGCCCAGACCCGAAGAAAACCTACAAGTCTATTTCTTGAAATCTTTTGAGTTGCATCAGAAGCTGCAGCACAACCCCTTCTCTCATCTTCTCCTGAAGATGATGCACTGAAGCATCTCTACCAAACCCAACTTCCAGTTGCAGAACCAATCCACCCAGATAACTAAGCTTCAGACAGGCTCTCACAGCTTTGTTTTAGATGTCTTACTTCAGAAGAAGCAGCGTAGTTGTTTGTGCCATTTCTCCTGAATAGGGAAGCTGCCAAGGTCACTGATTACAATGAAGATTTCATCAACCTGTAAATAATACAACTAATCATTCCCAGATTAATCCCAGATTAGCCACACTGGTTTTCTCCTTGGAAACTGAGTATCAGATGGTGTTTACTTAAGACAACTGGATACTCTGGATATCATATGATCTGAAAACAAAAGAAGTGATTGGCATGGTAACTTCCTGAGCTGCCCTGTAGAATACCAGAGCAAACAACACAAAGGCCTCCTTGGTCATACCATTCATGGGAATGCATCTTATTTCCAGAGCTGGTGACATTAACCTTCAGCTGTAATGCTCAAGGAGCACTTCTCTAGCAAATGGAAGTATTTTAACACTTGATAACTGAGCACTCCATTAAATATTATGGATTATTTCATGTAAAATCCTTCAAATGACAAGAAATGGTACCATTCATCCAACATAAACCTGGAATAAATTCTGTACCTACAGGATAGCAGAGGCAGATTTCTCAAAAAGTGTCTTGCTAGACATGCTATAATCTGCAATTCACTGCCTGGACACAAACCAACCCTCTGGGAAACTGACTGAACATCTGACTTTCATATCTGAACAGGAGCTTGCTGCCATTCCCTACCCTCAGTTCTCTGGGACAGCTACAGTATAAACACATCCCTGTTAAAAAAGGAGAAACCAAATTAGAGTGAGCCTTTTCTTTCAGAGGCTTCCCATTCAGCACTTCAAGTAAAACATCCTTCATTTCTTTGTAAACAAATCTCACAGAAACCATTTGATCTCAGACGACCAGGATCTAGAGACCAGCTATCTGAATAGCTTGTGACACTCTGCATCCTGAAGTGGATGATGTAAGGCTTCAGTGCCTGCATGGAGACAGCTGTTCCTATTAGAGAACCGCTCTGATTTACGTGGCAGTTTTTAGTGGAAGTTTCACATGCTATTACTGTAGTGAAGGAGAATTTACATTAGCATTCTAGACAAAGTGACGTATGGTCATGTATCATTTATCATTATCTCTCAACTCAACAAGATGCAGACGTCCAGAGTTCCTGAACTGTCCTGCTACACTGGCTGCCCACCTAGTAAAAGCTCCATTTCAGCAAGCAGTCGTATTTGACTGTGGCAAAGAGGTCTTTATCCCTGCTGGAACTTTGCAGCGTCATCATCACTAAGGGTGTGAGAGGCTTTTTCCCCTTCCAACCCGGAGGCCAGCCTTGCCCTGCTCCCTGCCAGCCTAGTCCCTGCTCTAGCCCAGCATCGCAACTGCGGATGGAGTATTTTGAGAAACCCTACACGGAGCTGGCACTCCATAAGCTTTGTCATGACAGCATCCCTCATCCTGGAGCTTGCTAGGACAGTGTCCGATATTTGGGTTTGTGCATGGGGAACCCTCAGCTGTGTACAAGTACCATTTTTTGAATGGTTTCCAGACTAAGAGCACAGAAGGGGTGGAATACATCACAGCTTTGGCCCGATAGCCCGTGAAATTGGCAAGGAGCAGTTGCAGACTCTGCAGGCAGACAAGGATCCAGAGAAAGCATCAGCACACTGCCAAGGCTAGAATGGCATAACTTGTTGATAATTTCACATATTCACTAAAAAGGAATACATTTTTCTATATACTGATGTTCAAAAGATTTTTTAAAAATCACTTAAAAAATATTAACATCATACTAGCACATATGCATACAAAGTCTGTTCAGCCAAAGAAAAGGTAGTCCAAGACAGAAGGAAAAAGCACAAATGTTTACATTAAAATTTAATTTCATAAACTTCTATTAGTAGGCCCTTATCTCACTGCAGACTTCCTAAGGCACAAAATCTTTATATGAAAAGAAACCTAGAGCAACCCTTCCTTCAATCCAGTGCCAGCTGGTACCTTTTCATACACAGACTCAAAACTCCATGGAGCAGGATGTCACAAATGCAACAGACATTGACTAGTACTTTTAGAATATTACCAACTGTTTGTACTGAAATAAATACAATTTGGCAATAAAAACCACCACAGCTTTGTTATAATTTTCATCCACATAAATATCTAGATTCTATTTTCTATTTCAAGAAGAATACATTAAATGCTTCAAGCCTTCCGGCATCAGTCTCATGATTCACTGATGCAGATCCCATAATATCAAAATAATTATAAAATATTAAACTCCATTATTAGGTCCATTTTTTTCCAGATTGTAGTTGTATATTTATTTAAACAAAAAAACCCCTAAGGAATCTGTTGAGTCATACATCCCTGAGTGGCATATAGTACAGAATTCATCCCTCCTATTCACCATGCGTGCAATGCAATATTTATACTGCAGATGTTTTCAAATGTGGTTTTATTCCAGTGATCTATTTGCAGTCTAGACATACATTTAAAAACAACAATATGCAAACATATCACAGAACAGTACCTAAAAAAATCTTTAGTATATACTCCTTTATAAAAGGTTTTGACACAATGGAAAAATCAGTCCAGAAAAACTCATGTTACCAGGTTTCTTGATAAACAAAATATTATGAAGCCCTCTAACCTGCATGAGCACAAGTATCCATAGCAATGGATCCCTCTTTTAAATCCTCCTTTTAAATAAACAGGTTTAAATGTTGTTTGGTAAACAAGTTTCTATCACAACACTGTCCATTTAATTTTGTGCTTTCCAAAAGGCAAGCATACTACAGAAATAAAATTCCCTACCCAACAGGAGAGAGAAATTCAGTAAACATGTATTTGTTTCCCATTCCAGCAGAGGAATCCAAGTTCACTGAAATTTTCATTATGTCTAAATCCATCACACCCTGCTTATACCTTCTTCTTCTTCTTCTTCGCCTGTTCTCCAGAGTCTACTTTACGTTTCTTAGCAGAAGCTGGTTCATCATCTTTTTCACCATCTTTAAATAAAAGACAGAGTTAATCAAAGTCAGCAAAGCCAGTATTTTGTCTTAAACACCATCCTTGTCTCAGAAAAACTGACTTAACCACACTTGAGAGGCCTGGAAAAAAGACACAGTAGTATTAACTGATAATATCCTCATTTTTGGAATACAGACAGTGTGTGGACAGAACAAGAATGGTTATTTGTTATTACTACCATAGACCACTAACGATAACTTAAGAAGAGGCTTTATACCATTGTACAGTACTATTCTAAAAAACTTATTATTTGAATAGATAATAAGAAAAGTTAGAAAAGGACATTTTAGAAGCAGGAAATAATGTCAAGGTTAATTAACCATTTATAGTCTTACTTTAAATGAAGACTAAGAGAAATGCATGGGATGAACATACAGAATACATGGAGCAAGACATATGGCAAAAAAAGAGCAAGACAGCAAAAAAACCCATTCCTTTGGAAAAGGTTTGCTGAGAACTTTACTGGTGAACCAAAACATTATTGTGTGTTCTGAAAGCCCAGAATTTCTTCTTCTGGTTTTGTTCTCTTGGTTGTTGCTGGTTATTCTCTTTCTCCAGCAATTAAAAAAAAATTCCTCCCACCTGTCAAATATTTCTTTACTTCCTAGATTACCATTGCAGCTCGTACCATGATTAAAAGTGAAGGGGATAGTAAATATTTTCTTCAGTAATCTGTCACGTGGACATACTATTTAATTCCCCTCTTGGACCTCAAGTTTTGCAAACGCTCTAAAAATAATCTGACCTACATCTACACCCAAGGTCAACACAGCAACACCTGAAGAAGCTCTCATACCGTTTTAGCAGCACCATGACTGAACCTGTTACATTCACAGAACTAGAGCTCTACAGTTTTTAATCCTTCCCTGCTAATGGCAATGGGACAGGAGCGGAGGGATTGCTGGGGGCTCTATATTGACTCTAGGAAAGTCGAAACACCGGCAGTGCAGTTCAACCATCCCCGCAGGCAGAGCGCTCTGTCCTTGAGCAGCAGGGGATGCAGGACAGGCCTGCGGAGCTTCCTCCGGGCTCAGGGTAGGGAGGGCTCCGCTCACCGACCACTCAGGGACCCGCCCGCCCAGCCCGGCTCTCGAAACACACCCAGCCTGTGCAGGCACAGCCGCCCCACGGCGCGAGGGCTCACCGCATCCGAGGGCTCGCTGCTCCTCGTCCGGCAGGAACTTGGCCTTGCCGGCCGGCCGGGGGAGGCGGTCGTTCGCCGGTGTCTTGCGTAGATGTTGGACCACTTGATGGCCATGGTCGACGGCGGGCGGCCGGTGGCGGCGCGCTTCTCGGCGGGGCTGTAGGTCTCGGCGGGCACGGCGTTGCTGCCTCAACAGCCTTGAACTTCCGCTGGGGGGCTGCGGGAGAAACCAGGAGCGCGCGCCGTCACAGCTGCGCTGGGAGGGCCGGGGACGCGCCTTCCGGCGCCTCGACCGCCGCCGCGGCCCCCGCACCCGTCCTCGGGCGCGCGCGCGCAGGACGCGGGCTCGGTCCCGAGGTCGATTCTCCTTGTTGACGGGTTGTAGAGAAGGCGGGCGGCTGCGACACCCGGCGAAGAGCTCATCCAATTTAGGGCGGCAGCGAGCCGCGGCCTCCCGCGGGCTGCCCGCCCGCGGGCGCGCGCCGCCCCCGAGGGCGTGCTCGTCGGGCGTGGGGCTCGTCGGCTGCCGAGAGTCGGTAGCTGTGGACTGCCGGTAGGCCGCGAAATAGCCCAGCGGGTCCTGCCCCCTGCGCCGCCATGGCGGGGCCGCGCCTCACAACCGCCCGCGGAAACCGCGCGCCGCGCCGAGGGTTCCGGGCCCGCCGCGCCGGAGCGGCACCGCCGCCGCGCCGTCGCGGCGAACGCGGGCGGGGCACCGGCACGGGATCCAGCGGGAGGAGGGAAGAGCTGACCCGCCGGGCGATGCAGGGCTCCCGCCACAGCGCGGGGTGCGTTCCTCCGAGGGATCGAGACAGACACCGAAAATCAGACACAAAGCCGAGCAACCTCCAATTTCTACCTTTTCACACCTGGAGGCCTAAAGGGAAAACACGTTTTCCCTTAATGTCCGGCCACTGGGCTAACCCAGGGCAGACATAGCGCTGACCAGCGCTGTCTATCCAGCAGGGTATCTTTACCACAACAGATTTGTGAAATTTGTTGGAAAAAGTTTCTATTAGACCTCCCCTGTCATTCACACACACACACATATATATATGTAGCTATATTTATCAGTTACTGTATCAGCTAAAATACTTACTGGCATGGTTCAAATGGCACGATGCTGTGTAGAGGGAGGTTTAGGCTGGATATCAGGAAAAAGGTTTTCACCCAGAGGGTGGTCGGGCACAGAACAGGCTCCCCAGGGAAGTGGTCACAGCACCAAGCCTGTCTGCGTTCAAGAGATATTTGGACGACACTATCAGGCACATGGTGTGATTCTTGCAGTGTCCTGCACAGCGCTAAGAGTTGGGCTCAACGATCCTGATGGGTCCTTTCCAACTCAGTGTATTCTATGATTCTATGTTCAGATTACTTATACTACCACAGAAGCGGGATAAGGTCTGAGCAAGAGGTTTTGGTTATAATATGATCAAGTCCTTTACTGTAAAGCTACTGAAACTGTGTCCAGCTGACATTTCATAATCAAGGTCATGATCATTATTTTGACAGAAGCCCTACACACAAAGTCCAATGAAAACGACCACTGAAGTGAAACTCCACAGTCCCTGCAACATTTGCAATTCCTTTTCCGAGTCATGCTCCTCAGCACTTAAAGTTCTTGTTTCTCCCCCCCATTAATAAAAATAAAAATCTTAATTTAAGAATGAAGTCAATATATGCATGGTTGGAGGCAACACTTCTCACACCTGTAGGAAGCTGAGCAGTAATTTGAAAAAAACCCAAGAATCAGGTTAGTAATACTAGACATGAACCACAGAAACTATTTAAGCAGCTGAGTTCTTGATTTCATATGCATGTTTGCCCTATAGACTGCTCTTGAATGCAGTCCTACTGGCACAGGCGTTTCACATTAAGTCAGTCTTTCCACCAAAGACAAACCTCTCTAACAAGACAAGGAGAACAAAAGCCTCCCGCACACACAAAACCAAAACCACACATCCACTTACCGGCACTTGCTCTTGCAACCTGCACATCTTAATAACAAGAGAGGCAGGCAGGCAAACAGGCAACTGTACAAAAGAATTTATTCCAAAAGTTGTGATAAAAATATTTTTACAAAATGCACGCTATAAACATTTGGTAGGATAATACATTCATTCAAGGTCTCAGGTCAGTAGCTTCCCAGGGAGTGGTCCCTGTAGGGTAGGCTTCCTGCAGGCTGCATGCTGGGTGGGTGGCACACCCCAGTGTGAGGTGAGAGCTGCAAGGCAGCCTCCACCCTGAGCTGAGGCACTTTGTTAAGGCCAAGCTTGCTCGCTCTCCTCCCTTTACAGCAATCCAGGAAGGGACCCAAACCTAAGCACAGCTCTTCAAGTTGTTACAGTGGGCATTTAGACGAATCACTTTTTAGACATCTCGAGTAAGTGCAACTACAGTTCAAGTTAATGGAAGAGAGGGATTTCAGCCTACCCTTAATTTCGTGTTAGAGAGCAAAGTTTTGCTTGCATATTTAGGCACTTAACTTCCAGAGTGCCATCTAATCCAGGCAGTTTCACTGAAAAGCACTTTCACCATCCTGACAGTCTATGACTGTAGATGCATACAAGAAAAACAAGGATTCTTATAAACACATCATTATCAGATGTAAGCTATTCCATATACTCGGTATGGAGTGTAGTTGAATATTGCAGTTTATTTTCACCTACTCCCAAAACCAGAGTAGTAATGAAAAACAATTTATAGAGACCATATTGAGGTCCTGCAGATGACCTGTCTCCATAAAAGGAGAGCAGTTTAGGAATATTACCTCGTTGTGAATTTAAATGGAATTATATGGCTATAGCACAGTATAAGGGCCTTAAATACAAACCTACCCTTTGATATACTGAAAACATCCCATCACTTTTAAGTGTAGTACCACAGAACACAACTGTACACACGTCCAAGTAAGAGTTTACCTAATTTTAAAATTATTATAGGCCACCTGCATTAAAGGCAGATTACAACTCAAGAGTGTGAGAGGAATACAGTTTGTTACACTGTGTCAAGAAATGAGAACCTTCCCATGTTGAAGCAGTTTAAAATGCATTTGACTCTAAACAATTTGAAATGTAAACCTGTCTGTCTGCTTTGAAAAGGAGGTATCTGAAGTGCCACATTTCCAGAAGTCCTCAGGTATGGATACTTTCTTGTTACAGGACTTCTCCTCCACTTTTCCCTACTGAGACAAAACATATAAGCTTTGCTCCTTAAAAGCATCCTACAATAACATTTTCCTACAGCCCTCATGATGCTGTTACAGCAGTTTACATCCTTTTTCCAGTACTAATGAGAATTTATATTTAAAGTGCATCTCGAATCAGGAATCTCAAACTAATATACAAGAATAACATGTCAAGACTTGCAGAAGTATATTTTTGCTATCCAGTGCCTTTTGGTTTACCAGAAGGACAAAGTTCAGACAATGAAGAGACTCCTTGCAAATAAGCACAGCTACAGATTTGGCCAGATTTGTAAGGTTTTTAGCAAATGGAGCTGCATGCGCATACATGGAGAGCAGGAAATCATCCTACCGAGAAACATTTAACTTGGTAAATGAGTTTAACCTTTTTGGTAAGTAAGCTTAAGCTTTTAGTTTAGAAAGTTATTTTTTGTTTTTCCATACTCACTACTTTTCCTAACTATCTTTCCCAATTCACCCATCACAGAAACACTAAGAAAAGTTGACTTGTTAGTTTCTGTAGGAAGAAAAAACCCATTTGTTCTATAATTCTAGCATAAATATCTGCAGCTACATGTGAAATCTTATACACATTGGTTTAAAAAACAAACCTTTGCTGGTATAGTACCAAGATATTTTGAAAAAGAGCTCCCTAAGTGAAAACAAAACAAAACAAAACCAAAACAAAATGGAAAAAAAAAAATCAAGCAGCTCCAGAGCCATACAATTACAAAATAAGACTTAAAACAGAAAACGCATAGATTATATATTGTTTCCTCTGATTTTGCTAACAGTTTCAAAACAACATCTTTTTAAGCTGTATGAGACATCACACAAAGTTTCAGTACCATTTGGATGAACATACCAACGTCACTACATTCACTGTGGTTGAAGGGAACGTGATCTTAAAGGCAAAAAGCAATTGTCACTTGAACTAGTACATGGATCTTGCTGGTCTGACTGGAGCTCTGGGGGCAGAGGGGGTGCACCTGGGTCTCCAGGCCCTGGGAGGGTGGCTGAGAAAACAGTGCTCTGTGAATTTCCCATCTCTGCAATTGGTAAATTCATTGAATGAAGAGAGACAGCGGACACAAAAGCGGCGGTGCTATAATCTTCTTCTGGATGATGTATCTGGGTAGACTCTTTGTCTTTTGTTTTATCAAAAAAATTTGATTCATCAGAAAATGATCTAGAAAGATTATTTGTTCCTCCATACAGTGAGGTCATACAGGTGCTGCAGCTTAGACCTAAAATAAAAAGACAGAAACTGGATTTAATTACAGTACAGTGCCCTCTTAAAACTGTGCTCTGATTTATATAACAGTAAGGTTGTCAAAGATCAATTGTCTGTATTTTTAACACTTCATCTCCCCTGTGACATCCAATATTCATGACAAATTAAAAAACAAACATGCAGGTTATCTAGGCTGATGTGAATGGTTTCTCTGCACCTCAGTATCAGCTAGTATTTGTCAAAGATGCACTGTAATTTAAGGTTCATTTCAGAAAGTCACTTTAGCCTTTCAGCCCAATTTTTGTTTGATTTTTCTGTGTTCTTCAAAGTTTTAAAAATTTCAGCTACATGGTTCGGCTCCAGAGTGGACAGCATTTGAAGGCTGTTTTACCTGAAGCCAGAGAAAACTTCAGGCCCTTCATCTCTAGGGTTAAAACGTACTTCTTCCTTCTTTATTTCTCTTTTGAGTGTGGAAGGGGAAGTAAAGCTTTTGGTGTAGAAAGCTTATACTTTCTTCCTCTGCCTTAAAATATGAATACACGTAGTCACTTCAAGCTTTGTGTGTCAACAAAACCTCTGTGCCTGCATGAAACAATGCACACACGTATTTACAGTGTCTAATTTTAAGCTTTGGCACTGAACACATACAGGGGAACTCCCCTCAGGTTGCATTTGCTGGCATATCTTCTGCTGAGGTGCAAAGTTTAACAAAACCGGAGCAACCTGCCACTGCAGCAAATAGCTGCAAGAGAAATGCAAGGTGGAAAATAACCACCTATTTTTGAAAAGCAAAACTGAAATGTGAAGACAGATTTATCCACCATAACAACACAATAGGGGGTGGTTTTGCAATTAATTATTTACGATGTGTTCAGATAGTAAAAAGGCAAAGCCAGGATACATGCACTAGGATCTTAAGCCCAAACTGGTGATATTTCCAAACATGTTGTTCCAAACAGTAGAGGAAGACTTTAATTTTGCAGACCCTCAAAATAAAACTTATGTCTTACACACATTATTATAAACTTGTTACCTTTGAGAGCTTCAAGCTTTTCATTTTTGACTTTCAACACTACATCAGTTATCTTTTGTAACAGGAAGTTTTGTGTTCTTTCTCGTCTGATAGATTCAATCAGAGCATCTAGTCCCTTTGGGTTTTCTGCTAAGTAGTCCAATAACTTCCCAGTTTTTTTCCTACTGGAAGATCGAGCAGAAATTTCTTCAGTGTCCTCTCGAGTGAGTATTTTCTTTGAACGCAGGTAATCGAAGTGTCTCTCAGCTATGATTTTATCACACAGGTAAGGACGCATCCTTTCTAAAGCCTGAAAAACAAAGCCAACTTGTATTAGCCAACACTTCCATTTATTCAGAAGTCTGTAGTTGAAACCTACAGATTTGATTTTGATACAGGTTAGCCAAAGAGTTCTTAAAGCTGCCACTGCATTACTGAGATTTTTCTAGTGTAAAAAAAATTTAAAAAACCTGTTACCTAATTATCCTTTTCGTTAGTTCTTTGAGTGAATTCAGGAGTTCTAATGCATATTAAGAAATAAGCTGACTATTATAGAAAATGTTAATTACATCAAGTCTGTGGTTAGCACATTTCAAAACAGTAAACAACTAAAAATGAAAAGAAATTATATCAAACAGCATCTTTGTCTACAGACATACTTATTCTCACTGACCACCCTACTGCCACATTTCCATACTATTTGCATTCATGAGGCACAACTCCAAAATATTGCAGATGCTGATATTTTCTGTACATAGAGCAAAAGCAGTGTCAGAGCAACAGCATGAATATACTCACAGTTTAAAAGGTTTGTAACTAAACACCACTATTGACAAATTGACAGATTACTGCCATCCAAAACACACATGCTTTCATCCTTAAATGTACATACTCTCATCAACATTACTGGCTGCTTTTTGTCTTCAGCAAAGTGCCTTCTTTTGGTTCAATATTTTAGACTAAACACCTGAAGCACCTTGCACACCTCTAACATGCTGCACAGACCACTGCAATTCTGATGACTAGCAAAAGCAAAACAACTCTATTTCCTCCTGCAGCATAACTTCAGTGTACAAGTGTAAACTGGTTGCTCGAGTCCTCCCTATAACGAGCAAAGGAAAGAGGTGGAAGTCTGTCCATGGAAGGTGACTCTATTGATCATCTAAAGCCCCATCATGCAGTCAGTGTTGGGCATGGGAAAGCAGAGGCATCTGTCTTAAGCACTTCAGCAGCAGTGCCACTTCCTATCTTCAGGAACTGTAACACTTAGTAAGAGACCATATTCTCTCGGAGATCATCTTCCCAGGAAAGCACACTATCTTTTGTGACCCTACTCAGTATCAATGGTTTTATATGGCTCACCACATCCTCCTCAAGACAAGCTTACCCAGACCAAGATGTTCTTGCAAGCTGGCTTCCAGCTGTGGGTTCAGTCAGTGACACAGATTAACATACAGATTGTGTTATATATAGTTTGACTTCAGCAGTTCTTGTCCTTTTCTGGTGTAACTACCCGATGCCAGCTATTGCAGTATTACCCTGTGGTTCCACAGAAGCAAGTACTAAC